TAATGAGTGATTATGATGATGAACATTTGGTATAAAACTAATGTACATTTAGATAGAAGAAACATAAAAATATAAAATACACTAACCGATATGTTTATAAGTAATAATAAATTCATAAGGCTTTCTAATATAGGAGAGATCAGCAAATGAAATAGTATCAATATCCAAATTAACTGCTACAAGGTTAAACTCGCACTGGAGAGATAACCATAAGCAACGTGAGAGAGGCGAAGGCACGTCAGTCAATCAGCAGGCGGTTATGCCATACGACAAAGAAGGGTCGATATCAGGAGCTTGAAGGAATACGAGTAATACGGGGAAGGAATCACAGGTAGTTATAATGACACCACAAAAAAAATTAAAAAATTTGACACAACGTTTATTTACGGTTAACAAATACAATCAAATATGATTTTATATTTTTATGGACGTTGTGTTAACCATCTCAAATTAAATATTTCATACTTGAAATCATCATTTTTTCTTTACTAACTATCAAAAGTTCTGGTATGAGCAAATTTCTTACCCACAGATTGCCCCATAGGGGAATAATTATCATAGTTGCCACATTTGGCAGCTAGTCAGGTTGATGTTGTTGTGTTAAGCTGTCATTAGAAAAATTCCGCTGCTCGTCACTAGTGCGAGTTTCTTTATGTCACCACTTGTACAAGGTTATTGAAAGAAGAAAATGAACCCACAAAAATATGTACTATGATACAAAAATTACTTCGCCACAAAATAAACCGCGTCCTGCAGGTCTCTCCCCAAGCAATAGCATCTCAAGTTTCAGTCAATCCATCTTATGGAGGGTCACCCTACACTACGCCTACCGGTACGAGGCTACCACTCGAGAACCTTTTTTCCCCATCGGTTATCGGTTCTTTGAGCTATATGGCCGGCCCATTGCCACTTAAGCTTACTAATCTATTTGGTTATGTCGCTTACTCTGGTTCTACTGCGGATATCCCCGAGCACAGCTCTCTCCATAGCTCGCTGAGCAACCTTGAGCGTCCTCATATGGCCAGCAGTGAAGGAGCTCGTCTCAGATCCGTAAGTCATCACTGGCAACACGCACTGGTTGTACAATGTAGTTTTCAGAGTTTGAGGTATACTTGACGAGAAGATGTTTTGTAATTTCCCGAACGCTGCCAAGCCGATTTGAATCCGTCGATTGACCTCTCGGTCGAAGTTGGAAGATCAATTAACTAATATCTAATTGATATCCGGTGAGGGCCTCCACCGTCATTAGCGTCCCATTGTTCTTATCTATTTATCTATTGTTCATTAAACACCGTCATTGTCTATTCTTCCTCGGCGTGTGCGTCGGCTTATCAGTGCTATTGTATTATACTTCTTTATTCCTAACTACAACGCTAATCTGAATCATCAATAAAACACATTACTTAATTTTTTTACAATTTTTATATACCAAATACAAAAACTTATTACTTATTATCTATAAAACAGGAGCGAAACATCTAATCCACTAAAATATCGTTGTACAACGTGTTCCGCGTAAATATACTCGCAAAACTATGCATTGGACATCGCTGAAACTTATATAGCAAATACATTAAGCAATATTCACCACAAACTGAAGTACACTCATTCTGAATCCTATCAACATTCCAGTTCCATCTTTTAAAATTCCTTTTTAAAAACTCTAGACGATATCGTACAGGTGATCGTCAATATGAATCAAAATATTAACCGACGTTAGTCGTATCGATATATAAAGCTACCCAATGTGACCCTGGTTTATCATCTGTATCCAAATTGCATATTATACACGTTGGTACGTGGGTATACATGGGCAGTCTATTAGCAGCATAAACATTATTTTATAGACTGGGGTGAAACTTTTTAAGATATTGTTGTACATCCAGTGTATCCATGATATTACTTCTATTAGTGGATTAGTACAGTACCAATCTACTCGATGACTAACATAGGAACGATCAATTATAGTAATTTCTAAATATTAAATCGCATTTTTTTGTGATATACAAATCGTATTTGAGTCATCGATACATCGAAGAAGACGCAACAGGAAGGAATGTTGAGATAAGCAACAGAATGTGAGATAAGCTTTTTGACGCATAAAGTTTTTATCAGTTTCACTGCAGAAATTCTTTAGATTAGAATTATTACTTACTGGTGCTATATAAGACCGAGCAGCTGTAGTCATGGAGTTAGTGTATGGTCGTTTGACCGCAGTTGATCTATCAATACTACATTTGTGTTACTTCAACGCATCAAAGGCCATGGATGTAAGTGTTTATTCTATTGACAAACTTACTTTTCTTTCTGTTATTTTTAACACGTTAACAAATTATATATAAATATTGTGTGTGTATATGATTAAGCCGTGGTAGCTCAGATGGTTAGCGCAAGCTGTAAATTTCACAATACGCGACCTGGGTTCGATTCCCGCCGGCACCAATTAAATTGTTAATTGCAATTTTAAGTGCTGATTTACCCCGTGCTCGGCAGTGAAGGAAAACATCGTGAGGAAACCTGCATGTCTGAGAAAATTTCGAAGGCATGTGAAGTTCGCCAATACGCATTGAGGCAGCGCGGCCACATTTCCTAGCCCTAAATACATAGACAATAGCAGAAAGTGAAAAAGTTAAAAAAAAACTTTTTTAACAATGACAGTCATTAGCTGATCATTAGTGAATGTGATTCTGTTTACTTAAATTACAGGAAGATAAGAGCAGAGGGAAGAGATTGGATCATGGGAAGTAATGAAGCATTGTTATGTGAAGTTTGTTGGAACAAACATATTTTAATCACGTGTAAATACTTTTAACTTTTTGGTTCAAAATGACACAAAACCTAAAAACTATTAGATACATCATCGACATGGACGGATTTTACATTACATATCCTCAAAAACATTTTTAATGTAGAGAAATGGCCATTCTAGACGTAAAACTATCTAATAAAAATTATGCGTTTATAGATCATTATTTGTTTCGGCCAAGTTATCTTTTCAATTATTTGTCACCAAAAGACAAAACAACTGTTCGTTATTGCGAAAGACACGTGCACGGCATTCCATATTTTGACGTGACCGAAGAATTAAAATGTGCCTACAAACAAGAGAACATCATTTCCATATTAAATTGGTACATTAGAAAGTTGTGCAAAGACGAAGTGATACAAAGGTGGTTCAGCAGAAAAACAATTTTTAAAAATGTTGACGACGAATGATAGAATTTTTAATATTGAAGAATATAAATGTCCAAAATACAATGATTTGGTAAATGTCATAAATGTCACAAACGTTATGTGTGTAATAATCATATATTTGCAAAAAATAATCACAAAATTTTACATTGTTCTTGTGATGAAGTGTGGGTTTTTTAAAAGTGGTTATTGCTTGAAAATAAAATTTTAAATTAATCATAAATTTTGTTTGATTTCCCAAAATAAAAACGTTTAAAATATCGCGTGACGTAAATTAATCACAAAATTTTACATTGTTCTTGTAATGAAGTGTGGGTTTTTTACAAGTGGTTATTGCTTGAAAATAAAATTTTAAATTAATCATAAATATTGTTTGATTTCCCAAAATCAAAACGTTTAAAGCATCGCGTGACGTAAAATAATCACAACATTTTACATTGTTCTTTTGACGAAGTGTGGGTTTTTTACAAGTGGTTATTGCTTGAAAATAAAATTTTAAAATAATCATAAATTTTGATCGATTTCCCAAAATAAAAACGTTTAAGACATCGCATAACGTATAGTGCTACGTCCTGTGACTTATTACGAAATAAACGTCGTTGTCTGGAAATTACGATACATTTAGTATACAGATCATTCTATTTTATATAATTTTTGCAATATATATTAATTGTTTACACCAACACTTTCACTTTTTTATTTCACCCCTTAGAACTTTGGACGTGTGTAATATTTCACTTTATCCATCCGTTTACTGCTATTGTGGCAGGACCAAGTGGATGTGGAAGTCAAATTTTGTAAGAAATTTCATAAAATCAGTTACAGAAATATGTAATTGTGATTTTAATCAGATCAAATGATACTTTGATGAAATGCAACCTTTATATAATTTACCAAATTTTAACTAATAAGGAAAAAACCATATCTTGTTATTATTGATGATCTAATGAGAGAGTCCAATGGAAGAATTGTGATAATTTGATATATTTACAAAAGGTAGTCATCACAGTAATCTTAGTGTATTTTATTTAACACAAAATTTATTTCATCAGGGTAATGGGCAAAGAGACGTATTACTTAAATTACAGGAAGACAAGAGCAGAAGATAGAGACGAGTGTGACATACGTGTACAGAACACATCATTGAATAACACAACTACAACACTGAGTGGAGAAGAAAACGAGAAGAATATGCAGTACTCAAGAGATGAATATCCATTCTTCAGTTCAAAATCCATCCGGTTGCTCAGTTTCAAAAACTGGCCACTCGTTATGCGACAGAAACCTGAAGATCTTTTAGAAGCCGGTTTCTTTTATACTGGCCATGCAGACAGGACCAAGTGTTTCCATTGTGGTGGTGGTTTAGAAGATTGGGAAGATGATGATGATCCTTGGCAGCAGCATATTCAGTTGTTTAGTCAGTGTGTTTATGTAAAATTTAAACTCGAACAGTGTTTTGTATTAGATTAAATAGAAGATTTATAGAGAAATAAAAAGAGTGCCTTTCCAGTGAGCATACAGAGCAGACGTGTCGCAAAGTAATTTAATAATTCATTAATTTTAGCGAAGCAAAATCGAACCATCGCGCTTAAACATTATAAACTACTTTGGCATCACTCAAGCTAGAACTGAATTATTAATTAAAAAACGTGCGCAACGGGCAGCAGCTCCCTTACTCACACCCGTGGGTAAGCAGCACAGTTGCATTTTTCATCTCTTACACCCACAAAACTCATTGCGTGTATAAACACTCCCGTACGTCCTTATTAACAGTAAATAAGCAATATTTTCAATTAACAATGAGCGTAATGAGATCTCCAACAAAAACGTGCGATTCGCAGCCAGATCTAACCAAACTGTGTGACTCAGAGACTAAACAAACTACAGTGCGTAAGCGTAAACAACCAGATACGGACTGCAGTTGCGTCAAAAATATTACAGATTTAAAGGGTGAAATTACAAAGTTATTGAATGAATTTACACAATCTCAAAATGCACATATGATTTTATTGCGCGAGGATATTGCTCAGATTAAAACCCAAATGGAAAACATACGAATCACTACGGAATATCTAGTTACAAAACATAGTAAAATATTAGATGAGATAAACGATTTAAAAAATGAAAAAAACCCTAACTGAGCAAAAAATTAAAACCCTTGAAAATGAAATAGATATTTTGAAAAGAGAGGCATGTACGGAACCTATCAATTCACTACCGATAAACTTACGTGAAAACCTTATTCGTTAAGCTAATGAGAGATCTACCAGAGAGAAAAATATTATAATTGTTGGTGTTCTCGAATTTCATGGATCGGTTAGGGAAGAAAGGCGTTTACACGATGAAAAGGAAGCCTTTAATATTATTAGCGAAATCACGTAAACTATTCACACTCCAATAAAATCATCACGGATCGGAAAATACAAAATAAATAATAACCGTTCGATGAAAGTCTACCTGGATTCATAAGCGACCGCAAAAGAAATACTGAGAAATAAAAATAAAATAACAAACAAAAATATAAAAAAATTCGTAACAGACCCCCCTCGCAACAATTTTACATGAAGGATCTTAAAAATAATCCACTTAAACGGCAACAGAATGGTGAATCTAACCTTATAATAAAATACATCAACGGATATCCAAAAATTATTTCATCTTCAAAAAACTAAAGGTCCCACTACAATGTCTACAACCTACCCTACTTAATAATAAAAAAAACATAAACAAGATAACACATACGAAATAATAGACACATATGATAATATCAAAACACTACGTACTTCTTTGAACTTTTTCTAATCCAACATTAGAAGCATTGTTCGACCTGGTAGTGGTTTAGAAGATTGGGAAGATGATGATGATCCTTGGCAGCATCCTATTCAGTTGTTTAGTCATTGTGTTTATGTAAAAATTTAAACTCGAACAGTGTTTTGTATTAGATTAAATAGAAGATTTATAGAGAAATAAAAAGAGTGCCTTTCCAGTGAGCATACAGAGCAGACGTGTCGCAAAGTAATTTAATAATTCATTAATTTTAGTGAAGCAAAATCCAACCATCGCGCTTAAACATTATAAACTACTTTGGCATCACTCAAGCTAGAACTGAATTATTAATTAAAAAACGTGCGCAACGGGCAGCAGCTCCCTTCCTCACACCCGTGGGTAAGCAGCACAGTTGCATTTTTTCATCTCTTACACCCACAAAACTCATTGCGTGTATAAACACTCCCGTACGTCCTTATTAACAGTAAATAAGCAATATTTTCAATTAACAATGAGCGTAATGAGATCTCCAACAAAAACGGGCGATTCGCAGCCAGATCTAACCAAACTGTGTGACTCAGAGTCTAAACAAACTACAGTGCGTAAGCGTAAACAACCAGATACGGACTGCAGTTGCGTCAAAAATATTACAGATTTAAAGGGTGAAATTACAAAGTTATTGATGAATTTACACAATCTCAAAATGCACATATGATTTTATTGCGCGAGGATATTGCTCAGATTAAAACCCAAATGGAAAACATACGAATCACTACGGAATATCTAGTTACAAAACATAGTAAAATATTAGATGAGATAAACGATTTAAAAAATGAAAAAAACCCTAACTGAGCAAAAAATTAAAACCCTTGAAAATGAAATAGATATTTTGAAAAGAGAGGCATGTACGGAACCTATCAATTCACTACCGATAAACTTACGTGAAAACCTTATTCGTGAAGCTAATGAGAGATCTACCAGAGAGAAAAATATTATAATTGTTGGTGTTCTCGAATTTCATGGATCGGTTAGGGAAGAAAGGCGTTTACACGATGAAAAGGAAGCCTTTAATATTATTAGCGAAATCACGTAAACTATTCACACCAATAAAATCATCACGGATCGGAAAATACAAAATAAATAATAACCGTTCGATGAAAGTCTACCTGGATTCATCAGCGACCGCAAAATAAATACTGAGAAATAAAAATAAAATAACAAACAAAAATATAAAAAAAATTCGTAACAGACCCCCTCGCAACAATTTTACATGAAGGAGCTTAAAAATAATCCACTTAAACGGCAACAGAATGGTGAATCTAACCTTATAATAAAATACATCAACGGATATCCAAAAATTATTTCATCTTCAAAAAACTAAAGATCCCACTACAATATCTACAACCTACCCTACCTAATAATAAAAAAACATAAACAAGATAACACATACGAAATAATAGACACATATGATAATATCAAAACACTACGTACTTCTTTGAACTTTTTCTAATCCAACATTAGAAGCATTGTTCGACCTGGTAAGCTCGACGAATTAGAATGCATTATTAAACCCATTGCTACGTCAATACACTTAATTTTACTAACTGAAACATGGATAAAAACAGAACAAGAAGCAAACAGAATACAAATACCAAACTATACTCATTACTATAACTACAGAGTAGCTACCAGAGGAGGTGGAGTTTCCATTTTCATACATAACGATATAAATCATACCCTAAGTGAGCATAAATATGCTCACAATAACAATTCCCTACGGATTACACTCAATAAACTTAAAATTGATGTCGGACATGTATAAACCTGGGAACTCTAATATTAATGATTTTATACAAGATTTTGAATCACAATTACTACACAGAAAGAGAGCTGTTCGGTGACTTCAATCTAGATTTACTTACGGTTGACAACAACACGAAGAGATTTATGAATGTAGTATGCGAATCTGGTTATACTATTTTAAATAAAGTAGAAAAAGAATACGCTGCTCGTACAACAGCAACCACAAATACTATCTTAGATCATGTGATTTCAAACCTAAGAGACAGATGCTTTCACTTAGCTATACATAATTGGTCAATATCGGACCATAAACAATTTTTTGTAGGAATAAATAAATTTAAACCAGTTCCACCACAACGAGTAAAATATGAAGCTAATAATTACGATATTTTGTACAAATATATTGAGGAAGAGTTTTGTGACATTAGAAATGATAGCAAGGAGTTTTACAATTTTAATGAATCAATAGAAAAAGTTATAACTAAAAGTAAAATCAGTAAAATAAAAATACAAAACCCACCCCAAAATGATTGGATAAATATAAAAATTATTAATAGCATACGTTCTAGAAATAAACTTTGGCAAAAACTTAAAAAATGCTCGAATAATGAAAAAGAAAAACTCATAAAGCTACATCAAAAAGCAAGAAAACAACAATCATAACTAAAACAAAAAGTGAGTACTACTATAATTAATTTAATATCTGTAAAATAACCCTAAAAATGTGGAAGCTTATTGAAACCCTAACAAAAAAATAAAGTAAAAACAGATAATATTTCTCCAAAACTAAAAACTTGTTTAGGAGAAATAACAGATGATGGAAATCGTATTTGTAAAGAATTTAATTTAGGTCGGTCGGTTTCGGTCTTAGCTAACGAGATACCACAGACTTTTTCGGAGGTAAACAATTCATATATTTTTAGTAACAAACATAAAAATGCAATTAATGAACTATCAAATTTTCGATAATGTGACGAATATGAAGTGGCTAAAACAATTGACCAACTAGACCCTAATACGAGCTCGGGAATAGATGGCATTACAACAAAGGTAGTCAAGTGTATTAAGGACTTAATTCTTACAAGTCTTACTTCTCGTATAAATGATTGTCTTAAAAGCGGAATATTTCCAGATGAAATTAAAACAGCTAAAGTCACACCTATATACAAATCAGGTACGAAAAGTGACCCCAGTAACTACCGTCCTATCTCTGTCTTACCAGTAGATTCCAAAATTTTTGAAAAAGTAATATATAACCGCTTAAATAAATACCTAACATCAATTAACTTTATTTCAAACTGTCAGTATGGTTTCCGGCCAAGGTCAAATACCTTAGCCGCAACGGTAGATTTAATTACCAAAATAAAGAAAAAACAGTGGTACAAAAAACTTAGGGCTTGGAATTTTTATACTTACTTACTTATTTACTTACTTATCTTCACGCACAATCCCTAACGGGGTAGCCAGAGAGAACAGATCGCCAAGTATCACGATCCTTACATACCTCTTTCGCTTCTTTCAGGTTTATAAACTTCTTCATACATGCACGTCTAGGTATCCGAGTACTCTTGACCCTCCCCTCTTCGAGCAATTTGCTCACATGGTCTTCGAAAGTTAGTCTCGGTCTACCTCGATACCTTTTAATATTTACTTTCGCTCTATATATTTTCTTCACCATTCGGTTTTCACTCATTCGTTCAACGTGCCCAAACCATTGGAGTACGCCCTTATCAATTTTTGTGATAAGGTCATCTTTCAATCCTGCCATATTGCGAATCTCTTCGTTTCGCTTTCGGTCGGCTAAGGTAACGCCACACATTTTACGAAGAGATCGCATCTCCACTGCATTCAACTTGCTTTTATGCTTCTTCTGGCATACCCAGGTTTCGCTGCCATATAACAAAGTCGGTACCAACACTGCATTATGTATTGCAAGGCGTGCACTCTTCACCACGCCTTGCCTTTTTACTAATGCATTCAGGGCACCATTGACTTTGTTTCCGGCAGCGACACGCCTATCCACATCTAAATCACATCTTCCATCCCGGCTGAAAGCACTCCCCAAGTATACAATTTCATTTACCTGTTCTAGACATTCCTGATTTACCCATATTTCACATTTCGTTCTCTCTTCGTCCGTTTCAAATACCAGAACCTTAGTTTTATTAGCATTCAAACGGAGACCTTTAATTTCACATTCCTCTTTCATACACGTGACTAATGCCTGCAGTTCTCTCTGCTTATGATGGTGCAATAAGCACTGCATCATCAGCATACAGCAGACAATTAACTTTTGTGTCACCCAATTTCACACCCAAACAGCTATTTTTCATCTTCTGTAAACAGCTGTCGAGATACAGTATGAACAGCCAGGAAGACATGACACAACCCTGTTTTACGCCCGCTTGGACGTTAAACATGGGTGACAGGTCATGCCCTACCCGCACACAGGCTTTACAGTCATAGTAGAGTGACTGCACAGCCCTTAACAATCGACCATCCACACCATATCCCGGCAACAGTTCCCATATTTTCTTCCTTATAACCTTATCAAATGCTTTCTCCAGATCCA